AAGTCAGATTTTAATCAAAGAATCGGCAGCTTTGGGGTGGGGGAAAAGCTCAATTCATCGGGATGGATCGAGATCGGATAGAGCCGGTGCGGCCAAAAAATCACCCCGCTCCATCTTCTGCCCATCACTTAATGTATAAAATCGAATCAAATTAGATAATAAATTTAATTATATATAATAATTTTTTTTGAAGAGTATATAATAAATGTTAGATGTTGTAGTAAGATAAATTGTACTACATTCAAATAGAGAATTTGAGTTACTCATATAATTATACTTTTTAAATAATAAAATTAAATAAATTTATTTAATTTACAATGATATGCCGAAAATATGTATGCATATAAAAGATATCCAATAATTTAGCCGAGTCCATTATACTATTATGGATAATGGATTCGAATTGAATTTGAGTATCATTATCCACTTTATTCAATTAAATTTTTATTTACTTTTTAATGAGTTAAATTTACATATTTAATAATCTTAAGAATTGAAATATTATCTCCCTTAAAAATTTTAAATTATCATATATTTTAGATTTTTTTTATTTTCTATTGATAATTTATTTTTGTCTTTCATAAAATATTATAAGTTCGTCACTTCTAAAATTTTATTAATTCATCCCTTACATAAATTAAGTGTATCCTCTAATTACATATTTACAACTATCTTACTCCCATTGTTCTATTTATACCCAACAAGGGGTTGGCTAAATTCATATGCTAAAATCTTATGAGTCAATGTAATTCATATATAGATATTGGGATGATGGAGGGGGAAGGCGGATGGAGGTAGCTATGCTCTAAAACTTTAAAATTACTATATATTTTAAATTTTTTTATATATTTTATATTAAAAAATTATTTTTTCCTCCTAAAATTTTATAAATCCGTCCCTGTATAGATATCTATTCCATTAATTGTGGGAAATGAATTGGTCTTAGTCAAAATCAAATGCCACATTGAACTATTAAGTCCATTATTTTTCTAGGGTTCTTTCCAACTACAGCTTAGAGATTGGGTTTTGATATGATTGATTGGGGTATTATCGGAAGGAAACGTTGAAAAACATTAAAACAATGAGCCTAAATTGCCAAAGAATGGGACCCAATTACCTTAAAACTTCAGGTGTTCATGTCTCCTTGTAAGTTGGTTTGTCCATTCAAGAGCTCAAAATATGACCAAACACGTCAAATTCTTGCATTGTTTCATTGGTATTGTTGCATTGATGGAACTTTGGTCGCCATCTCTATAGCTAGCATGTAGTAGTTCCTTCAAGAATTCCTAGGTTTCTTTGTCAACAGTTTAACCATATTTAATTTCTTTGTCATCATCAAATCCAAGTGCCACAACTGGCTAGCATGAAGCATCCATGTATGGTTCATGAACCAACCCCATCTTTTTCCTTTGATTGAACATGCAAAACAACAACACCATCATGACCAAATTGATTTAACTCTAGCTATGTTAAAAGTTGGAAGAAGAAGTCCCCAAATCATAATTCATATTCTAAATAAGTCCTTAAACTTTAAAACAATCTATATCGGTCTTTAAACTATGATCATCATTCTGAATTGATTTGAAACATTAAAATATTCTATATCAGTCATCAAACTATCAATGCCATTCTATTTTGTTCATTCTATTAATGTGTTGTTAGGATGAGTTAAATGTCATTTTTAACTAGATTTTAAATTTAGTTTTTTTGGATAATTCAATTTTATTACCCAAAGAGCAGAAACTGCTACAAAAACAATCAGAGCTCAGATTACATTAGATCATCCTACTTACAAAAATAATCAACGATCAAGCTATACCCCAGTGACTACAGAGAGTAATATTAACACTATCAATTCTATTTATATTCCTACCCCTTAATTGTAAACCAACAATATCCTTAATGGCATAGAACATTTCTTCAACATTTCTGGATCGACCTTGGAACAACCTTTTGTTTCTTTCTTCCCATAGAATGTAGATAAGTGCATTCGAAGCAATCTTCATAATTGTAGTGAGCAAGGATTTACCTTTCCAAGTAGAACAAGCCCAAGCAAAAAGAGCTTCCCATGATAAAACTTTATACTGCAAACCAGTAAGGGAGAAAACTGCATTCCATAAGTAATTTGCCATAGGACACTTAAGGAACAAGTGATCCCTTGTTTCCAATGATGCATCACAAAAAACGCATTGATATTCATTGATAAGTCGTTCCTCACTGTACTTTACTCTCTCTCCTATTTTACTCGTTGTCCTTTCAATTTTTCTATTTTGTTCACTGAACTTTACATATTGAATCATTTTGCTCACTTTGTCGTTAACTCTTTAATGGTGTGATGGCATGACACAAGCATCAAAATGACATCGTTTTGAATCTTCTTATTTCCCCCTATTGTCACCGTCGACCACCACCATGTCATTTTTCATTCCGACCATCGTGTCGTCGTTAACGATGGTCGTTCGGTCCCATAATTCATGGGTTGATCCGTCTTGACCCCCTGAATCCGAATCTGGTGGTTGTTTCACTGGAAAAATGTCCCAAAATTCGTGAATCTATATTGAAATGTTTCGGTTTTCTCACTTTTAATCTCCAATTCGTGGACTTCAAAGAAAGTTCTGACAAAATCGAGGTTGGATTCGAACTCAAGGTGTCGAGGCGAAGCGACCTATGAAATTTGAGATTGAACGATCATCATCTTTGGTAGTCGTCGACGGTGGCTGGTGGTGGTATCCAACCACCTTCTCTTTTTGTTTTATAGTTGGGTGAGCAAAATAGGAGAGACAGTAAAGTTCAGAGAGGAACGGTGTAATTTACCCTTAATATTTTTCATTATTTTATATTAAATAATAATAAAAAATAACACATCATCACACCGTTAGAGAGTTAATGGTAGAGTGAGCAAAAATGATTCAATCTGTAAAGTTCAGTGAGTAAAATAGAAAAATTGAAAGTACGGTGAGAAAAACAGGAGAAAGAGTAAAGTTCAGTGAGGAATTGTGTAATTTACCCTTATAAAATAATAATACAAGTTGAAAAGAAACATAAAAGGCAAGAGTTTAAGAAATCCTATTAAGGGCCTAATTAAAATTTTCAATAATTGAGAGACTTAATGAGAATTTTCAAAACTTATAAAACTTAATAAGAAATCATAAAAAATTAGAAAATTTAAATAAAATTTTTGAAAATTTTAAAAACTTCAAACAAATTTCTCAAATTTTTGGAGTCCTGGCCCTTCTTATGGTCTACCAATGCTATTGAACATGAATTCAAATTTCATGGAACACAAATTCTAAAGTGAGTGAGTTGTTCTTACATGGGTGTAAATAAGATAAGACAAATCGCGAGTTATTTAAATTCGATTTGGTCAAAGTTTAGCCAATACTTGAATCAAATCGAATCAAGTTCTTAACGAGCCAAAACAAGATACTTAATACCTGATTCGATAAACTCGCAAGCAACTCGACAAAAATAGTACATTAAATTTTTATTTTTTAATGAAATTATTAAAAATATTAACATTATATTTTGTTATATTTGTTTTTTAAATACAATATAAGGTTTTCATGTGCTTAAGGTTCATATTTAATTTTTTTTTGAATAAAATCGAACTCTACAATACTCAAATTCGACTCAACTCGTTTACTATCCTAATTACCATCTATCCCTAAAAAGATAATTCTAAATATATTTAAGGATTCATCAACTCTTGCTGTATGACACTTTGGAAAATGTTTGATGATTAATCAAAACCCACAATTCCTTTGTTGGATTTGGGCCCTCAAGAGGTGAAGTTTGGGCAACTTTAGTATGTAAAGCTTGATTTAGAATGTTTTTTTTTTACTAATGGATTTTTAGTTTAATGACAATAAAATGGTTTTGATTTTTTTAGTTCATTCATTAGTATTCGATATTTTAATCGATTAATTCAAATTGAGTATTACAGAAGTTCGCTATAAAAATGACTTTCCCAAGCAAGTTTATTCTACTTACGATGTTAGGATTTGAATCCTTAATATTAATTTTAAAAATTAAATTAAAATTTGATCAATAAAATTTTAAATTTTAATAGATAATAAATTGTTAGAGTAGTTAAAGAAGGTCATTATAACCAACAACCAGTTAGTCTAGTGGGATGAGACACTAGGTCCTTTAAGCAATGTCAAGAGTTCGAATCCTGGAGTTTGTGAATAGAGCAAACTAGGTTGGGAGGGCTGCCTTTGCCTCTATAGTACCCGAAGTGGATTAGTCGGTCAATAAATCGGATGCCAATGATTAATTCAAAAAAAAAGAAATCATTATAAATTATATTACTTTTATGATAATACAGATAATATGAAATAATTTTTTTAAACATAAATAGCCATTTTTTTGTTAAAATATTTCAATTGATATGATTTTTTGATTCAAAATTTTTAAAAATGTATTTTTTTTTAGTTTTATTAGTATTTGATTAGGTAACAAATTGACACCAGGGATGCATATACTATAAATTATAGGATAAATCATTATTAAAAGAAAGTAAAAACATGTTATTTTTTTTGGGTAAATTACATATTTAGTACATAAACTATTAGTCTTGATCTATTTTAGTATTTTAATTTTTAATTTTTTTCAAAATCATACATAAAGTTTAGTTTTTTTATTTTAATACTCCACCATTAAAAAAAATTTATTTTATTTTAGTATCATGTTCAAAATTTAACGTTAAGTTTTGAAAAAATTTAATGTTAAAAACTATCAGTTTTAGTACTTAAACTTTCAGTTTTTTTAAGATCATACTGAAAGTTTAGTTTTTATTTTATTTTAGTATCTCACCGTTAAAAACTTTGATTTTGTTTCATTTTAGTATCTGTTCAAAATTTAATGTTAAAACTTTAAAAAAGTTACGTTAAAACTTTAAAAAAGTTAAAAGTTTAGGTATTAAATGCGTAGTTTATCCTAAAGGATAAATTAATATTTGGGCTCGGCCTAAATAGATGACGACCCGGTGGAAGCTTCCCACCAACTGCATTAACACCTTTTGCAATTCGGAATTTCCGATTACAGTTTATGCATTAGAAATCAAATCCCACAAAAAATTCAAAATCTTAAACTTCATTCTACTGCTTTGAACCTCTAATTTGTACTATTACGTAGAACTTTATTTATTTTTTTTGGTTCTTCATGGGTTGCTCTTCGTCTGTCCCAGGTAAAATCCTTACCCAGATACTTTGATTTCCTTTTTTATTGGGTATTTTTATAGGTTTTTTCTTATTCGTCTGCAAAGGGTTTTTTCTCTCTTTAATTTGGTCGATTTCTTTGGGTTTTGAGTAGAGAAGTTGTTCTAATTTGATTCCTGGATTGTGGGGTTTGGTAGCTGGTGATTTAATTGGGGATTCTGTACTTAGCTTTGGGTTGTAATGGATTTTGTTAAAGCTATTGATTCTTTTGTTTTGGGGTCGTTTTTTTATTGGTTGTAGATCGGAGTTCCGGGAGGTCGACTGGAGTTAACAACGGAGAGAACTCTGAAGGTCCTGATGCTAAAAATCTGCGTGTAAAGGTAAATGTTCTTTCAGGTCCATGTATGTCGTTGAATATTCGAAGATTGAGCTGTAAGTGTTGTCGGATATTCGAATATTGAGTTATAAATGTTGTTGAATATTCGAACATTGAGCTATAAATGTTGTTGAATATTTGAATATTGAGCTATAAAGTGTTTGATATTATCCACCTTCTCATTACTAATCCTACCGATAATGAAAAATGCACCTCGGTTGAAAGGGTTCAATGAATTTGTTTCATCTGGTGCTAAGGCACAGCGCCTTTAACGATGGTGGTGATTTTCTTAGCATGTTTGGTGGCTCGTATTATCATTAATCTTGAAATTATTATTTAAAAGATTGACTATATTACCTGGTTTTGGATGCTCAAAACTGAATTTTAACAATTGTGCAATTTTCTGCATGATCTCCTTTAATTGCGTCCTCATGATGCAACTGAACTTTCGATATCATTTTGCTGCACCCAGCTGGTCTTGTTAGGTGATTCTGGAGTTGGAAAAAGTTGTATTGTTCTGCGCTTTGTCCGGGGCCAGTTTGATCCTACATCCAAGGTTAGGAGTTTTCCCTTAAGCCATCAACTTATAATATTGCCATCTGGCTTTCTTTTTGAGCTTCGTTTTGTCCAACCATATTCAAGCTGATTGGTGTAAGCATCTTATGAGGGCGAAAAAGTTCTGCTCCGATGAAATTTTTCTGACTTGTCAGGCCTTAATCATTTCAGGTAACCGTAGGAGCTTCATTCTTGTCACAGACAATAGCTTTGCAAGAGTCAACCACTGTTAAGTTTGAAATATGGGATACGGCTGGACAAGAGAGGTATGATTCTTGAATACCATGTCGATATTGTGATCATCACTGCATGGTTTTCACTGCAACTGATATTACAATTTAGTTTACATTATGCATTTTACTTTGCTATGATCACTCCTTTGGAAGGAAAGAGCTAATTGTTTAATTTGTCTTCCTCAGGTATGCTGCACTGGCACCTCTGTACTACAGAGGAGCGGGAGTTGCAGTTATTGTGTATGATATAACTAGTCCTGAGTCTTTTGCCAAAGCACAATATTGGGTTAAGGTAGTTTCTGAGATTGCAATAGTGTTTTTTTTCTAGGATTTTTATTGCTTTCTTCATTTTAGAATGTGAAAAATTTTGGCTGTGATAAAATTTCAAACGACAGTTTTCATGGTTTTGGAGGAGTATTCTTGGTATGACAACGTATTTCATGGAAGATCTAAGTTACCTACTGTATCTGTCGTCTTTAATAGTGCAAAACTGCAAATTGCAAATAATTCTGTTTTGGTGCTTCTGTCATCGTCATTTTAATGTTTCTCATTTTCCGAAATATCAATTTTTCCCTCATATTTCTTTGCAAAAGCATAAACTAGTTCTCTCAGGAAGATTGTCTTGCAGTTCAAGTGCGATTTTGCCGTCTTTTATGCCGAAAAGAACTCAAGTCTTTTTGATTAATGAATTTTCAAAATGTCTTTTGGTTTTCTCCATGAAGTATCGTCTTTTATATAGACTGATTTTTCTTTTATAAAGAATATTACTGAAAATGCTAAAATTAATGTATTTTATAATCTGTCAGGAGCTACAAAAGCATGGGAGCCCAGGTATCTTGATGGCTTTGGTTGGTAATAAAGCCGATCTTCAAGAGAAACGTGAAGTCCAAGTCCAAGTTAGTGCCAATATTATGAACAAGATACCTTTATGCATGTTGAACTATCTTCTAATGTGTGCTGTTTAATTCTTGAAGGATGGCATTGACTATGCGGAGAAGAACGGAATGTTCTTTATCGAGACATCTGCCAAGACTGCAGACAATATAAATCAGTTGTTTGAGGTATTTCTTCGATATGTCCCAAAGTGCAATTAAATAGTTCATAAATAATTATTAATACTGAGTGAGCACGTTTATTGTTATGGACGTTGCATAGAATGGTTATTTTTGCATTCCGTGACAACTGACTAGGTCAAGATTTTATACAAGTTACTAAAGATAGAAACTTAAATTTGATCACATAAGCAGTCTCATAGTTAGGTTTCAGTCTATATTCGATGCTAGTTGTTTCGAATTTCAATAGTTATTAAGCATCATTGTTCTTACTTTTACATTAGTTTTAAAATAGTTAGTGTAAAATAAAGAAGAATTTGGCATAAATCTAAACTTGAAGTGAGATGAGTAAAAACTCAAGTAAGAAATAGTACATAGTCAAATAAGCAATATATATTCCTTATCTTTGTTCAAAATTTTTTAATACTCTGAGGTTGAATATGAGGTAGTATCTGTTCAAAATTTTCTTAACAAATTAATAACACACACCCTGCAAACGCAGCTGTTCGAATCTGGTTCCTTTAGTGAGAACAACATTTTCTTTACAACATTCCTTATCTTTGTTCAAATTAAGCCAAGTGAGCGACTAAAAGTTACCTTGTGAAGGTAGTTTATTTCTAACTGGTACGAAAACATGAGGAAAAGATCAACACTCCAACCAAATGTAGCACTAGAGTTAATGTTGACGGTATCAAAATGTTATTTGCTCAAACTTGCCAAGAGCATTCTAATGTAGATTTGCTACTACTAGCAAGTAATTACTATTCAATTTTGAGTAGTAGTCGTCGATGCCTCTAAAATCGGTGTTCTTTTATGTGCACTTACCGGTACTTGTCCATCTTACGAATTGGTTTCTTGTTATCGATTACCTCTATTCATGTCAATGGGTTAATTTAGCCATCAATGCACCAAGTTTGTTGTCATCTAAATGCATTGTCAACCCTACTGAGTTATTTTCACCTATGTTGCTCTCTAAATCTTCATTTTTTCTCATGAAACACCCGTGTTAGACGCCTAAGTCCAAGTGAAATAGATTGAGATTGTCAAGGTTTATCTATGAATCTAGGTTGAAGGTTTTTATCTACATGACAGGAAATCGCTAAGAGACTGCCATGGCCATCGTCGTCGTCGTGATCGGGGGACGGTGATACCGAATCAACTACCAGGTATTTTTAATGTTCTGGAACAAGATTGTGAATATGTTCTACGTTTTCTTAGTCTGTGATGCAACACTGAAGCTGATTTAAGAACACATTCAGTTGTGAGTTGCCATTATCATCCCTTTAAAAGATTGGTTGCAACTATGAAATATCATTATATTTGACAATTATGACATGTTTCACCAGATTTGACAATTTATGTATGCTTATTCAAGTTGTGTCATGTCTTCATGTAGTTTTCTTTTCTGCTCTTCCAAAATTTTTTTTGAACAAATTATGATTTTGCTTTTAAGCAACTACTATCAAAGTGATTTTAGTGGTCAATGGGAATGTTATTATCTCCTGGTTCTGAGTTCAAGCAGTTGTATTTGTAGGGTGTAGATGCGTTGTTAACAAGTTAAGAAAGTTCTGAACAGATTTTATCTCGGACTTTTTTTAAAAAGTTGTAGTATGCGTAGAAGAGGAAACTATTTAGAATCCATCAAACCCTAGTTGACAATTCATGAATAATAAAATGTATTTTATACTAATAAATTTATTATAAAAAAATAATTCAAAATTCTTTAAAGGATAAAATTTTATTTATAGGACAAGTCAATATACATAAACTAATGGGTTTGTTCCGTAGACTAATTCTCTGTCACTAAAAGCATGTGTAACAATGAAATTAATGGTTAAAGGAAGTGTTTTTTTTCCGGTGATTCTAGGTTTGGTCAGCTATATTCGTAGGGTGTGTATTGTCAATGATTAAGAAATATTATGAATAGATTACATCTTATGATCAGTTCAGACTATTAAAAAAATTAATTTGTTTGTGATAAGTTTATTGGCATGATGCCAAAATTGTACCCAACATTTATCAAAATTATCATTTTGACTCTTATTTTTTTTAGCACTTTAGCTCTTAGCGTTTTATTTTTGGGGGTAGAAAGTCTCATTTATAGATGAAAATCGTTTGTTAATACACAATTAACAATCTAAAATAGTCATCTTTTTATCTTAAAACGAAACGTTGAAGATCAAAACGTTCTAAAAAAAGAATAAGGATTCAAGTGACTATTTTATCAAATATTAGGGATTTTTTTCCTAAAATAAAATTTTATGGATAAATATTTATAAAAAAATAAAACTCAAATGATTATTTTGGTAGACATTGAATATTAATTTTTTCACATTATGCCAAGTTTATTGGTGTTGGGTATTAAGTGAATTTATTAGGATCTTGACATATCCAATAAAACAACACATACTAGGAATTATCTTTAATTTTCAGTAATAATTAATAATAAAATTCAATTCAGAAGAATCATTTGAATAGGGCAAATAAGCAAAAAAATAATTTGGATTGAATTTCTTAAATTCTAATTAAAAATATATAGTGAAATTTGACTATCAATATGTGGTTATTTACATTTGTCGAATTAATTATTAGAATTTTTAATTTAATTTGACCTTCAATTTTTAAAAGAAAAGATGGAACATATTTATTATAAAAATATTATTTAGATTATTAATTTTTTAATGATCACATGATAATCTATAAATATTTCATAATAACATGATACTAATTTTACATACCAACTCAATAAATAATTTAAAGTTATTAAAATAACTTAACTAAAAAATAAAAATCAATTTATTAAAATATAATATAAAAAAATAAATATATACAATTTATGTATTACGCAATATATATATATATATATATATATATATATATATATATATATATATATATATATATATATATATATATTCCATGATTGTGATATAACGAATATTTCTAAGGTTGGAATTGAAACCTGATAGTGACATTGTCTCTATTTTTTAAAGTTTTGATAATTTGTTTTCTATTTGTCTTTTGTTGACCAACTCCACTCAATTATTTTGTTTTATTTCATTTTTTAACAAATAAAACAAAACAACATGAAAGCACACTATATTTTTAATAAAAATGATTTATATATATATATATATATATATATATAATAAAAGCACGAACCAAGCGACATCGACGGTAAATGAATTATTCCTTGAAGTCTAGGGTTTGAGTACGAGGAATGTCAAAGTGTGAGCGTTCAATGTTAAACAATGAAAAATTATCTATAAACAGATATTATTTTGTACTTACTCGGATTAATAAAAAAATTAATTTTACAACTTCTAAAAGTTTAATATAAAAAAATAATCATTTAAACATAATTAACGACTTCTTATATATTTTACCCCAAATATAACCGGTCAAATATAAATGGTTAGACCAAGTAATCTACGTTTAATTATTCTCTTTATCAATTAATGTAGGGAAAACTACTTACGTATTCACTCAATTATTTTTGTGGTTCCGTTTTAGTCAATAAATTTATTTATTTTTTCAAAATCATATCTAACGCTATGTTTTGGTTTTGTTTTGGTCATCTATTGTTAAGAAATTAACTGTGATATTGACATGTCATCATAAGGTGATATCGCAATATCACTGAAAAATAAAAAAAATTATCATATAAGCATATCTGTTAATTTTTTAACGACGGGTGACCAAAATGTAACATTGGGTATAATTTTGAAAAAAAAAGCTGAGTGGCCAAAACATAACCACAAAAATAATTGATTGACTACATATTGATTTTACCAGTCAATAAGTCAATGTTCAATTTATATGATCATTAAATTTTAACAAAAAATTGAGTTTAAAATATATGAAGAGTCGAATGACTATAACTTTTAAAAGTATAAGTATTTTAAAAACAACTCACTATAATCATGGGATCATTTTATAACTTTTAATAGTCTAGAATCTTAATAAAATAATTCCCTATAATTGGTACATCATTTGTGTACTTTACCCTAATATATTTTTAAAGAACATTCTTTAATTTCGCCATCATTATTAAACCTCCCTCGAAACCAAAATTTCCCATTGTTCTAAACAAGAGCAACAAGCTTAAATTTCCCAGCTTCCATGGCTTCCCTTTCCAAAATTACCCATTTCTTTTAACTGAATTCCCTCATCTTGGTGTTTTTTATTTTCCTCCAAAGACCAAAATTTTCCCTTAAATTTTGGGATTTTTCGAAACAAGATTGTTTCTTTTTTCTGTGTTTGAATGATCATGGGACTCACAGGTGATTCCAAGGGGCAATTGCTGAGTCAAATAGCTGAGTCAGTGAAGGATATATCCGGTTTACCGGAGTGTAGAAATTCGTGTAAGAAAATGCATGGGAATTTGGTTCGTAGAATTAAGTTGTTGAGCCCTTTGTTTGAAGAATTAAGAGACGGTAATGAGGAGTCGGTGATGAAAATTGAAGAGATTAAAGGGTTTGAGCTACTTAAAGTTGCTTTGGATTCTACTAAAGAGCTTCTTCAATCGATTAACGAAGGAAGCAAATTGTACCAGGTAACTTATTTTTCCTTTTTCGTTGTTGATGCCCTATTTGGTTGTTGAGAAAGTGATAGGAAAGAGAAGGGAAAATTTTGGGTCTGTTTTTGGAGCCATGTGATGTTGGTTGAACAGGGAAAAAAGTCAGAACTTTCTGTTTGTTTGCTTAGAAAATTTTGTGTTAGGTGGAAAAGCAAATTGAAAAGAGAAAATAGCTGGTTTTCTGAATCAAAATTCTTATTAACTTAGTTTTATAGGTTATGATTTATCATCTCTAATGGAACATTAAATCTTTCCACAATTTTTTCTAGGAACTATCTAAGTTAAAATGATTTCCTTCGATCATCCAATTAAATTATAGTTCTATCTTCATATATTTATGTTGAGTTCCCTTGAGTGACCTAAGTGGTAGAGTGAATGTTGTTTTCCTTTGAACACCCGAGTTTGAGCAGCTACTTTGTAATCACACCTGACTATATATATATATATATATTCTTTCAAATTGTGTGTTATTGGCATTGATGCATTGTCTAGGTTCTATTGATGAATCTGGTCCTGGGGTGTGGTTTATATCTTTTCCATGAGACATTGAATAGCTGGTTGATTTTTCCATGAGTTTTTGCCTCAAGTGTTTAGGGAGTTATAGTTTTTAATTGACTATCGATCTCGGGAATTTGCTTTCGAGGTCGTCAATGGAAGTGCCATATTCGTAGAAACAAGCTTGATCTTTTTGTGCTTTTAAACGATCTATTTTTTCTACTAATTAACCTTGTCATCTTTCACAAATTCCTTTATATTCATGTAGTAATTATTCATTGAGATGAGTCTGCATTACTTTCTGCAGGCCATGCAAAAGGACCAGATAGCGTATAAGTTCCAGCAAATGACGGAAGCCATTGAAGCTGCTTTGAATGAGATTCCGTATGATGAGCTTGATATATCAGAGGAAGTCCAGGAACAGGTACTTTTCTGTGAAATTTTTTTCGAAAATAGAACTATTCCTTTGAGTCTTTCTTTTGTTTGAATTGTTCCATGCACATTTAGGACAATTGAAACTATAGTTCGACAAAAACAAACCGCTAGAATCGAGTGACAGATAAATAAATTCCCAAGTGCTTGCAACTTCTATGACCTGTTCTTATTATTTCTCTTTCGTATCAGATTGAACTTGTTCATGCACAATTCAGACGAGCAAAAGGAAGACTGGACTCACCTGATTTGCAACTGGAACGTGATTTAGCGGTAGCACAGAAAGAGAAAGATCCCGACTCTGCAATTCTCAAAAGACTTTCAGAAAAGTTGCAGCTGAGGACAATCAATGATCTAACGAGAGAGTCTGTTGCTTTCCACGAACTGGTTATTGCAAGTGGTGGAGATCCGGGGGAGCGCTTTGAGGAGATGGCATCACTGCTCAAGAAGCTTAACGATTATGTTCTGACCGAAAACCCTGAAGCTGACACCTCTGAGGGTGAGAAAGGCTTGATGAAACACAGGTCACCTGTTATCCCAGATGATTTCCGGTGCCCGATATCTCTTGAATTGATGAAAGACCCTGTAATTGTATCCACCGGACAGGTTAATCGGCAAAATGCATCCCTAACTTTTATTATTATTAAGCAATAAAACTCGGATATTCTAATCTTTTTGGTTGGTTCCAATATTCTGAATTATTTTGCTTTCTTTTGCAGACATATGAAAGATCTTGTATCCAGAAATGGTTGGATGCCGGGCACAAGACATGTCCGAAAACACAGCAGACACTATTGCACACTGCCCTTACGCCAAACTACGTTTTAAAAAGTCTTA